TACATTCGTCAAGAATCATAAGGTACAACACTTAATAATAATCATAGGGAACAAATAAGCAATCAAATCATATTAGGAAACAGTCAATATAAATTGTAAGGATACCAGCAACAAGGTTACAGTCATACAGTCATAAGTGGAGAAGATGGGTGATAGGAACGATGAGAAGATTAATAGTAATGCAGACTTAGTAACTAGTTTGACAGTGTTGAGGGAATTATTTGTTTAGCATAGTGATGGTGTTTGGAAAAAAACTGTTCTTGTGTCTAGTTGTTGTGGTGTGCAGTGGACACCAGAACAACTTCTGGTAGGAGTTGAAACATTTATGTCCAGGATGCAAGGGGTCTGTAAATATTTTCACAGCCCTCTTTTTGACTCGTGCAGTATACAGGTCCTCAATGGAAGGCAGGTTGGTAGTAATTGTTTTTTTCTGCAGTTCTAATTATCCTCTGAAGTCTGTGTCTGTCTTGTTGGGTTGCAGAACCAAACCAGACAGTTATAGAGGTGCAGATGACAGACTCAATAATTCCTCTGTAGAACTGTATCAGCAGCTCCTTGGGCAGTTTGAGCTTTCTGAGTTGGCGCAGAAAGAACATTCTTTGTTGTGCTTTTTTGATGACGTTTTTGATGTTAGGTGTCCATTTCAGGTCTTGAGATATGATAGAACCTAGAAATCTGAAGGTCTGTACTGTTGATACTGTGTTGTCTAGTATTGTAAGAGGTGGTAGTATGGGAGGGTTTCTCCTAAAGTCCACCACCATTTCTAAGGTTTTGAGTGTGTTCAGTTCCAGATTGTTCTGGCCGCACCATGAGGCTAGTTGTTCAACCTCCCGTCTGTATGCGGATTCATTAGTGTCTCAAATGAGACTGATCACTGTTGTGTTATCTGCAAACTTCAGTAGTTTAACGAATCGGTTGAGATGCAGTCATTGGTATATAGAGAGAAGAGAAGTGGAGAGAGCACACAGCCTTGTGCGGCTCCTGTGCTAATTGTACAGGTATCTGATGTGATTCTACTTAGCTTCACCTGCTGTTTCCTGTCTGTTAGGAAGTCCTGTCATTTTTTTGTAAACAAAGTGATGTGGTTTGTGTTCCTTGCATACAGTTGTGTGTTGTCCTCTAATTTTGATTTCAGTTGTCATCATGTCCAATCCCACCATTCTTTTAATATGCAGATGACTCAAATCTGTGGTTCTGTGACCCACCTTTGCACAGATCAGATTACTGTACAACTTTGTTTTACAAGATAAATGTTCTCATGAATTCACAGTGTTTTGGCTTGTCTCTTATTTTGCAAAAGCTTTGTGTTATGCTCATACAAAATTAGTGGGACAGGCTTTTGTGCATGTGTAAAGTATGCTTTACAAAGGTCTCATGATCCATTATCTTATATAATATTCATTATCTTATAAAATCCCTGCAAATAACAAGAATTACTTGCTTTTGCTGTAAAGGTTATACAGATATGGGGACCATATGCATGCTTGTGTCGTTCGGTTTTCTATTCTGAACCATTTTTAGCAATTACTATCCTAAGAACTCAAGGGATGCGGTGACTCAGTGGCTAAGACACTGAGCTTGTCAGTCAAAAGGTCGGCAGTTCAGCGGTTCGAATCCCTAGTGCTGCGTAACAGGGTGAGCTCCCGTTATTTGTCCCAGCTTCTGCCAACCTAGCAGTTCGAAAGCACATAAAAAATGCAAGTAGAAAAATAGGGACCATCTTTGGTGGGAAGGTAACAGTGTTCTGTGCGCATTTGGTGTTTAGTCATGCCGGCCACATGACCATGGAGACATCTTCAGAGAGCGCTGGCTCTTCAGCTTTGAAATGGAGAGGAGCACCACCCCCTAAAGTCGGGAATGACTAGCACATATGTGCGAGGGGAACCTTTACCTTTATCCTAAGATCGTGAACTAGGTGCTCTACAGGACTATGCACAATCCTGGCAAAAGGGACAATTTGACTGAGAAAAGTTTTTTAAAGGTCTTTGGAATAGAGAATTGAATCTGTCCATATTCTGTCCTCAAGAAATCCTCTTCTCTCTCTCCCTGCCTCCACCCTCCAAACAAGGGGTACGTGAACAATATGACAGATCTTCTTCTGTAGCTCTCCACACTTTGGCAAGCTTTAGAACTCCTTATCCCCAGAAGTCTGCAAAGCTATTTACGTCATGTTTTTTAGGAGGCAACTTGATTTCACCAAGCTTTCAACTCTAGCTAAGTTTTACTGACGTCCAGCTTGGGGGAGGAGTGATTTATTAACAATCTCTTGTTTCTGTTGGTTTAATAATTATGATTTATTTTATTGTTGCATTTATACTTTTAATTTGTTGTAACCACCACCGCCACCTGGAGTCTTCTGATTTGTGGGAGGTATAAAAAGTAGAAAATAAAAATAAAATCTTTTTTTTCTTTTGAAGAAGACAGCGACTTTGAAAATAGAGTGGAGAAGTAATGAGTGGAGGTAGAAACCTTGTCCTCCATTAACTCCTTTTTCACTGAAGTTCCATGCGGGAAGAAAAGTATGTGAACCTCAAAACTCATGGTAGCAAAAGATGATTTTGCTTCTGGAGCTATGAAGGAACAGGATCAGTGATGGGTTTCAAATTTTTTTACTACTGGTTCTGTGGGTGTGGCTTGGTGGGAATGGCATGGCTTGGTGGGTGTGGCAGGGGAAAGATACTGCAAAATCTTCATTCCCTCCCCAATACAGGGGAAGGTTACTGCAAAATCCCCATTTCCTCCTGATTAGCTGGGACTCGGGAGGCAGAGAATAGATGGGGGAGGAGCCAATCAGATTTTTTACTACCAGTTCTCCGAACTAATCAAAATTTCCACTACCGGTTCTCCAGAACTGGTCAGAACCTGCTGAAACCCACTTCTGAACAGCAGCAAATGAGTAACAGCTTAAAACATCATTGCTGAAGAAATCTCCCACATGATCTTTCATTCATATCAAAAGCAGCAGGTTATAGAATTTAGACATAATATGCAGAGACAGTTCATTAGTTCTGAGGTCTTCATAAATCAGGAGGTGAGATTTTCATAAAATTGTATTATTACAGTATAAGCATGCAGTTGCTATTCAGTTGAGGAGAATTCAATTCACTTTGTAAAGATTTTGAACAATGCAGCTTTATACCTGATGCCTTCTGGCAGCAGACTACAATGGCCATCCTCTCTGACATAACAATCATGATTGGCTGGATTCATACAGCACATTAATTTTCATTCACTGTGGGTTTTTTTTAAAAAAAATATCTTATATTTTGCTAAGGAATAATTGAGTTTGTTTGGCTGTGTTTTAATGTCTTGTCTGAACACAGAAATTATAGTATTTAAATCAGCATGGAGCTGGGAACATGCAGAAACTAGAGTTGAATTTGGGTTGCCAATTATGAAACTGTCATTGTTCCTTTAATAGCACATGATCCAGAGACATTAGCAGATGATAGATAACATTTATCACCCTGCTATAAGATGTTTATCTTAGGCAGATTGGATTGCCTATTAAAGGCGAAAGAATTGGCTGTAGCCTTCTATTGTATTGCAGATTAGTCACCAACCCTACATTGTGGAAATTTTCTTTGCGAGAAAAGGAGAGGAGTGGAAATCCTTGCTATTACCACTGACATTTATAAATTATTTTGCGGGAAAGTAATCTTGTGGCATCACTTTCAGTTTTAAAATTATATACTAATTACATATACTAATTACATCATCCACTCATACAACTGAAAGCAAATATATATATAAACATATATACACATATATATTTATGTATGTATGTATGTATGTATGTATGTATGTATGTATGTATGTATGTATATTCCAGGATAAGATGGCAGGATCCAGTCTGAGTTGGTCACCTGGACCAGAGGTTTAGTTTTCTGAGCTTTCGGACCCATGCTGGAGTCCATTCTCAGGGAACTTTTCTCTTGCCAGATTCTCTCACATTCTGGGAAGAGAGAAGTTCCCCGAGGATCGGCTCCAACACGAGTCTGAAAACTTGGAAGACTAAATCTCTGGTTCTGGTGACCAATGCAGATTGGATCCCGCAAGTCATACAGTTCTTTAAAAGGGTGGGCAATTACTTCGTTTAAACTTTTTGAGCCAAGTGGCAAACCTCTTGGCCCCTTTTAACACTTTTATCTAAAAAAATATTAGAATAGAATAGAATAGAATAACAGAGTTGGAAGGGACCTTGGAGGTCTTCTAGTCCAACCCCCTGCCCAGGCAGGAAATCCTACACCACTTCAGACAAATGGTTATCCAAATATTATTATTTCCTTCTTCCTTGACTCCCATACTGAACTATACATTTAGTTCAGCTAGCAAAACACCTTTATGGGTTTTCTTTTCTTTATTTCTGCATCTTGCATTCTTTGGCACAATGGGACTTTTTTTTTTTTTAATGTTGCAAATCACACGTATACATACTACATTTAAAAATAATTAAGCAGTGCTTATTACCCATGTCTGGAAAAATCTGGAACATGGTAACCTTTAATTATAATATTCTTGCTAGGCTGCTATACTAATTAAGTACAAAGTAGATTGTCTGTGTAGAAGAGATAGCGTTCAGTTCCATTCCCAGCCAGACAGCCTGGCACGTACCGAAAGTTTGAAAAGAAAACCACAGGCACATTCCACAAAACCTGTACTGTCGTGGCTGCAAAGCATGACCATTACAAGTAATCCCCCACCACCTTTGAAGCAGAGAGCATTTCTCAGGTGAACAGCTGTTTCTCAATGCAACCTCGCATTTGACGCTGACTCAAGCAAAAAATGTTAGCCTGCCTTTTGCCTGAATGCAGCAGTAACCTAATCCTACGGCTCCCTGTTTGGAACTAAAAATGGCTCCTGTTGTTTCCAAACTGAGGCACTGCAGGCTACTCCTCTACAGTTTTCATCGCCCCTCCTCTTTCTTCTCCTGGAATTTGGAAAGTGTCCCAAGACCCAGAATGCAGTTCAGCAGGTTTCAGGACAACTTATCATAATGACCTGATCCAATTATGTTGCATTTCTTTCCCTTTTGAACTCCTAAACTAACCTGTATTTTTTCCTTTCACAGGCCCAGAGCTAAATTAAGTGTCTGATACACCCAAAAAATTCCTAACTTACCACTGCTGACTAGATTGGGAGTTGACAACACCTAAAATGACTGCCAGAGGGCCATCGCTGGCACTTGTTGCATTCAAGTAAAGCCAATCTTATCAGGTAAGAAGAAAGCATGTATGTCTGCTCCTTGTAATGGGTCTGTAAACCAATATTTCTTTAACTGGTGAAGTTTTGGAGCATCAGAAAGAAGGAAACTTATTCCTTTAATTTCAGAGGTTTAAAAGATACTTTATGGATTTTAATGTAAAAAAGAAAATTTAAGGAACCGTATACTATGGTCTTCCTTTCACTGGGTGAACTTATTGGACTGAACTCCCATCCTCCAACCTGGAGTTGAGCAATGTAAGCACTTTCCAGATATTGAACTTGCATCTCATCTAGAACTATTGATGAGGAATGATAGATTATGGTCCAAACTTCTGGAAGACCACACGTTGCACATCTCTCTAAGCAGCCTTCATTTGTGTTTCACTAAAGGTATTGGTCAACAATTTCAAACAGTTTAATCTGGGTAGTATCTTGGTTGAAGAGCTGGGGAACACTCAAATTGTAGTATGACACTTCTGGGAGAAGCTGATATGTATTGTTAGCAGTACTTATTGGAACTACCAAATAAAACTTTTTTTACTATTCAGCTAGAATGTTGGTTTAGCATCTCAAAATGCAGTCACAGCTTGTAGGCTTTGCTTACAAACAAAGCATACCCTGTTATAACCTTCAATCTCTTTCTCACACCTTAATTTGGGGTTTTCCTGGAATTTTTGCAGCCAGATTTTGGAATGCAGAATTTGAAATGAAGTGCATATTCTACAGTGTGTTATTTCTGCAAACGATTGTAATTCTTACCTTGCAACGCCGCCAGAATGTCTTTGGAAAGTAACCTCAGACCCAGAAGTTTAAATGAGATGACTACAGTAAAACTGATACTGGTCTGATTTTCCCACCTCCCGACCTTGCCAATCACCAAAGGGCTCTACTCAGTACGATGTAAAAGGGTGATGTAATCCAGCATTCCAAGGACTTTGGAACACTGCAGACATGAGCTTGCCAGCTTTGTTTTCTGAAAGGGCCATTCCTTCATAGATGAATAATATAATAGCAAAAATTGGCAGGTACTCCACTAGCACAAAATCTGCATGTCAGGAAAAATATTGCATGCTGAATGTCCTTGTTCTTGGTGGCTGTTAAAATTATTAAGACCATAGCAGGAATAATTTAACCACCTATGCTGAGAAAAATTATCAGCCTTCAGATGTGGATTCCTGGCTTCACTGAAGCCCACCATTATTTGATTATTGATAAAAATGAGCAATTTAGGCAGCTCATACAGTATCTAGAAAATAAGGAAAATGGTTCCTGAAGCCTCTCAAAATTTACTATGTGAGTTTCTGAACACACAGAATTTTTTCCCCTGCTCACCTATTTCAGTAGTCACATTGTGCTCCTACAAGAATATCTTTTCTGTTTAAAGCATTCATAAACAGCATGAAACAATGATTCATTATGTGACTCAAATGTTAGCTTACATACTGTTACTCAGAAGCCTGTAACAATAATTTACTTGCATTAATTTGACTAAGTTACCAGGTGATAGCAAGAATTCCTGAATGACAACATAATTGTAATGAGGTGTGTTGTATAGATCCAGATAATTGTAATTAATTTAATAAACCATCAAGAAGCAATTCAAGGCATAACAGGTTGTGTGAAAAAACGGCTATTATATGTGAAAAGTTTTCAATGCTTGAAATGTGTCCTGTAAACAATGGAATGCAAGTAACCATAGTGATACCATAGAGACAAATATTAGCTTGCTGGAAGCATTCATAAAGAAAACATGCAAGGAGCAAGTGGGATTTGAACTCCACTCTTGGTCTATCCATCCTAAAAGTATGTCTCCTGTCTAGGTTGCAACAATTTAAGTGGCTGATACAGATGGCAGTACAGGAATAGGAAAACCTGAATACTACCCTCTAGTGGCCATCCACATTTTTGCAACCCAATTATAGTAACCTGCTTAGATACATAATGAGGATATAAATGCATTCAAGGGGAACATTGTCCTGGGATTCAGAATTCCCATGCTTAAACTAATGAGACCACTGGTGAAAATGGTTTAGGTCAAAGATTAGTCTTTCCCAAGGTCATACCAACTACCATCAAATAAAAGAAGTATTTTTTTCTGTAAGAGTTAAAGAGAATTAACTCAATGCATCATGAATTAATTGCTGTGTTTGCAATTAATTACAGCTTGCAAGTTGTAGTGTTTGGTCTATCACTCAGGACTTGTCCTATCTCTGTGGCAATACATATACATAATGTATGTGTATATTACACACAAATGTATCTATGGATATTGTGTGTGTGTGTATACACTTACACAGTATGTGGATGGAAATAATTGTTTTTGTGTGGTGTGATCAAAAATGTGATTCAGTTGAAAAACGTAAATGTCAGAAATATAAAAATATAAGATAAGATATAAAAGTAAATATTAGAGAAATATTTGTTCATCCTCAGAATATACTCCAAATATTGAATCCAATTCTGGGTTTTGCATTTTAGGAAGAATATTGACAAATTGTATCATGTCTAGGGATGTCATGTCCCAAGGAGACAACCAAGTTGATAAAAAGCCTGTAAAGAAAAATGTAGGAGAAATGGATATAGGTGAGAATCTCAAAAAACCGAATGTCTCTTTAGTGCCGTTAAATGATCATCTGGGTTTTTCCAACCTAGATACAATAGCTAAACTTTAGGGCTGGAGACACAAGAGTATCTCAGACAGCTGCCTTTGAATATCTATGGGTAGTCAGGTAAGATCGGCAGATTTGATCAGGATTGTTCCAGAAGATAGTACAAGGTCTAACAAAGAAGTAGACTTTACTTGGACACTAGGAAAAAAGCCCTAATGGTAAGAACTGTTCAACAATGGGACAGATTGCCTGGGAGTGAGTTAGATGATCCTTTGCTGGAGTTGTTTAAGCAGAAGCTCAATGACCATCTCCTAGTAATGCCATAGTAGTGAATTCCAGGACAAGATCTTGTTGGATTGGGTTGAGACACAAAGTCCAGCAGTCTGTTTCACACTGTGTAAACAGGTTCTTTCAAGAAGCTCAAAGCATGGACAGGTAAGCAATATTGTTCCTAAACTGTAAATGAATAGTATCTAAAGTATGCTTCCTATGATTATAACAATAATTATATCAGCGCATTAGGTGCCATACCAAAAAGTCTTGGCTGACACTTGGAAAATCTATGTATTGGCAAAATTTTCAATTGGACTGGATCTGCACATAAACTATGCTAATCCATTATAATATCCTAGGTTCTTGGGAAAATACAGTGCATATGAAGGCCAACACCAGCTAAAGAACTGGCAGTTATGATGTCACATTTTTGTGTATATAATAATAATTATTGATGGCCACTTGTAACACTAGTGGTCTTAATATTTAATGGCAATTTAGACCTATTTATATTGGCCACCTATCTATACAACTAAGGTTCTAATGAATCTAATTCCACTCCTCTGTTAAAATACTGATTTCAGTGCAATGCTGATTATTTATCACTCCAATAATAATGATAAAAGAGAAATAAACCCCTTCAGAATTATGAATCTAGTCAACAGTGATGACCAATGCAATGGATTCTTAAGATGCACTTTCTGTAATCAAAAACAGCTTAAGTATAAACATACAAAGTGCCTATTATCACGTGTGAATTAAACCCACTCTGTCACCCTACAGTATTTGAAAGCCCAAAGAAGTCCAATTTAAACAGCACAGGAGGCCTATCAACAGGTAGCTTGTGATCGCAGAGACCTTCTAGTATTTAGCAATTGATTAAAAACAATCATCATTATTTTGAAGCTTGAACACTGAGGATTCCATGGTTTATACCTATGTCCTTCTCTTGTTTTCAGATCTTTGGTATCTGAATCCACCTATCCACCTGTCACTGTCATCAACCCCCAATCTTACTTAGCCCTGAGTCAAATCACTGATTTCTGCCTATTTCACCAAACTGCGATTTTTCCACAACAAGGAGTTTCCCTACCTTGTTTTATCTGGAACATATTTAGAATTTTGCCAGGAAAAATCATGTATTCTGCCAACATCTTTAGATTGGCTTTTCTTTAAAAACAAACATTTAAAATGAGTGTTAAGACTGAAGCCATTGCCTCATCCTGGAAGAGTCAGCCCATGGTTTCTCTGCCACATTTTAATGATCAGAGCATTTATTATAGAAGGAAATGCAGCCTATTCATAAATAAATGGCTGCTATAAATATCCAAGGCTCTCCAACTTGTTCAAATTAAGCTTTGGATAAAGAGCTGTTGGTAGGCATCTATTTTATTTCAATCACTTTCCTAGTGAAAAAGTATTCAAGAGATTTGAAACTTGTTTATAAGTAATAGTCAACCCTGTTGAAGTCCCTGTTGAAATTATAAAGCAAGAAGGCACCCTCAAAAAAAAAAATCCCCTATTTTTTTGATTTAACATTCATCCCTGCATGTGTCAGTTTATGCTTGGACCATCAGCAATGTATGAAATTCAAGCACCAATCTAATTAGCACAAAATGATGACTCCTCCATAGGAACAACTCTGCATTAATGATGAAACAACTGAGCTTTCAAGAGATGATTTTACTGAATTGAAACTGTGATCAAGGGAACAAATCAAGGAGAAGAGAAATGAACTGAACCGCACACGGAACTGATCTCAGTTTACCCTGTTATTTTCCAGCTCCTGTAATTCATGACTAATCACTGTACCAATCAGTAATTTTCACATCAAGCTTTGACCTGTTCTAGACAAAATTATCCTCCATTTTTAGATCCAATGAAAGATTATTTTTTTAAAACCTGGAAAAATCATGAAAACTTACCAGTAGAAGTCCTAAAAGCTTCTTTTCTCTATTTAAGGGCCAATCAGGAAGTTTTCACACAACGGCATCCTATTTGCTTGCAGAACTAACAAATTAGAACAGGAGCTTCGGCAGATCTGAAATCTAGGCGCAGCTGATCTTGACTAAACTGGAGGATGGGAGGAAGGTCCCAGGACTGACAGTTCAAACACTTCGACTGAACACACGGCTGCCACAGACTGAAAAAAGGCAGTGAACCCACAACTTCCAATTAAATACCACCCAAGGTATTTTCACATTTTCTTTGGAGCCTCTCAACGTCTTTTCGATGTAGCCTGCAATTTTTCCTCCTGTGTTCTCTTCATCCCCACCCAATTTTAATTGCTTGCTTTCTTGCTTTGGCTTGATACTTTTTCTCACTCTTTTATTTTTAGATTGTCAGTATAATACAGTCACTTGTAGAGGCTGCATGACAGCAGCAAATGTAACTGGAGCCGTAGCTCTTGAGTGCCAGGAATTACAGCCTCAAGCAGGACTTCGCTGAGGGTACTGGCGGGAAGGCCTGGGCAAAACAAAAGGATTGGAAACCTCCATTTTACATCAATAGCTATGGTAGTTGCAGGGAGGAAAACTATGAAAGCTAAAGTAGCTCCAGATATTGAAGATGATTTGCCAGTATATGCAGGGCAGAGAATTCCAGCACAATGTTGCCTAAGCATTGGGCATCTTCCCATCCTAGCACTGCCATAATGGAAGGAGACTAGAAGATGAGTTCCAAAAGACCTTCTAAGTCTCTCAAACTGATTGTGGATGGGACCAACTGGCAAGTTTCAAAGGTTCAGCAGAAGAAAGCAAGGTTCAGAAAGATAGCAGAACCAAGCAGGAAATGTAGGTGCAATGATTGTGCTTTCATTATTGTCCATTTAAACTGCTCAGGTTATAGGAAATAAGAGAGTAGAATTGAGATTTGGTCAAAGCCAGTTGTGCATCTAAACTGTCCTGCAATGCAAACAAGAAAGAAACACAATCTTGTGTTTTGGAGTAATGCCCAATAGCTTGCGCTAACATGTTCAAGAGCAAGGGATGTAACCATTATAATCCAGATATCTGTGGGCACCAGGTGGTCTATCCCAGCCTCAAACATATTTTATAGAGAGGAACTCGGAGTAACAGGAAAGCTTCTGCTTTTATATATTCTTCTTTAATCTTCTAGTGTTCTTCTGATTGCAGCTGACAAAAATCCACAGTGCAAATTACTTCCATTTTGAGACATTGCAGCTGCAGTATAAATGCTAAAATAGTCTTCACATTTAAAATAATAAAGGAAAAAAACCCACAAAGCTCATCAAAAAGAAAAAAAATCAAGGAGAAAAAAAACAAGATCCCAGGACTGCATACCTGAGCTATTACCAAAGATCCCTCGTGCATGCCAAATATTAAGCTGACTCCTAGGCGCTAAGAGTTGCCCATCAGTTTGATGAAGATTGTCCCTGTGTATCTCACTCCTAAATCCATCTTTGGCTTGTCAAATACGGCTGCAGATCTGACCTTGCAAAGGCCATGAACAAAATCTTGCCATATGATGCCAAACTGGAGCAAGTTCAAATCCTGTTCTCCCTGCAATATGCTCCCGTGATTTATGGTAACATTTCTTCCAAACTGGAAATTACCCTTGCAAATTGCTCTAATCTTTGGAAGCAAAGATATTGACAGTTTTAAAAAAAACAAACACACCAAATAAATTACTTTTTCTAGAGGGTCATATGAAGATGAATGAGATTTGGTTTGATGGTTACAACAAATTGTACTACATAATTGCATTCATATTAGAATAAAATCCTATACTTGTCTATTCAAAAGTATATCTCCCTTTTTTCAACTGGGTTTATTCCCAAGAGAGATAAGTAAATATCTCATCCTATTATAGGGTAACTAGCTAGTTTTCATCTAATATCTATATCTATATCATCTATATCTGTATCTGTATCTATATCTATATCTATATCATCTATATCTGTATCTGTATCTATATCTATATCTATATCTATATCATCTATATCTGTATCTGTATCTATATCTATATCATCTATATCTGTATCTGTATCTATATCTATATCTATATCTATATCATCTATATCTATATCTATATCATCTATATCTATATCTATATCTATATCTATATCTATATCTATATCTATATCTATGCAAGTATTCGGGTCTTTTCCCGTGTAAGATTGAGAGTATCTTGGCGACATTCAATGAGGTCCCACTCGTCATCTTCAGGCTGATGCCTCTCTATAAATACTGGTTGGGAGGTGTGGGATGCTGGCTTTGTGTTGTGAGCGGGTTGGTTGCCTGTGTTGTTACATCTTGATCTATATCTATATCTATATCTATATCTATCTATACGTAAGATCATGAATTTATTACTCTCCATTCAATTTTGATGAATCTTCGAAATATTGTCTTAATTTGATCATTGACAGCATAATTCTTTCATTTTCTTTTTTTTAAAAAACATTTTATTAGGTTATAAAATAAGATATAAAATAAGATATAAAACAGGGAGACAGTCAGGGGAAAGGGGAGAAAGAGAAGTGAGGAAGGGCTGGGGAAAAGAAAAATAAAGTGTTGACTTCCGACTCCCTCTGTTGCAGCAAAATAAAGCATTAACATCAAACCACAACTTTTTGCTTTTCCATAGTAATTTAAACTAGCCATTTCTATAAACACCAGTCAATCTAATCAGTAAAACCCAAAATCATAGTTTCGTTTTTTTTCCCCCACCTCAAGCACAAAGTTCAGAAGCGGTTTCCATGTGGAAACAAAGGTACTTATGTTCTTTTCTTTAATCAAAAGAGTCAATTTAGCCATTTCTGTCAACTCCATCAGCCTCTGTAGCCATTCGTCCATGGTGGAAATCGAACCGTCCTTCCATTTTTGTGCATAGCGTAGTCTTGCTGCTGTCAACATATATACGAAGTTACGAAGATTCGTTCATTTTCATAAAAGTGTACAAAATCCAGGTTTTGGAAAAGAATTGAAGAATAACACAACCTGATTTCTAGAAGCCATTTCTAATAATTTGTTTTTAAAAAACAGATAAAATATTTTGAGTAGTTGTGTTTATCACCCTGCCTCTTCCTTCTATCATATTTTATAATATGATATAACTTGCTGCTTTTTTAATATGTTTTTTTTAAACTTTGATTAAAAACTCTTTTTTACTTTTTTTAAATTCTAATTTTAAATGGAATTGCTGGTTCTGGTTGTTGAATATTGTGGTGCAACAGATTTGGAGAGAATATTGGAAAATATTGGAATATTTCCAACATCCAAAAATTGGAAATAGCGCCTTCAGCAGACCAAAATTTCATATTCTGCTTGTGGTGAATGATTCTGATGGCCACAAGCAGAAGAAAAGAAGCAGATGCTATATTTTCAACACAAAAAATCAGCCTATCCCTTCTTTTAATGTTCTGGCTGACATTAACTCCTCTCTGCCAGATTCAGTCCCATTTTAGAAAGCTAACTGGGCGGGGTTACATGTTTATTTGGAAGCAAACTGTATGATATTCAGGCTGATATGTTGAGGTGGGGATTGTGACTTAAATTTCCACCTTTGCTTTTCTACTTTACCTAGTCATACTCATCAGGAACATAAGTGCATGGCAGGCAGGCAGCCTCCCACGAGGACAAAAGGGGCAGTGACAGCACATAACCCTGCATTCCTTCAAAACCAAAGGGGAAAAACTTCTTCCAGAGCAGCCAGAGCAAAGGTGAAATCCAGCAGGTTCTGACAGGTTCTGGAGAACCTGTAGCGGAAATTTTGAGTAGCTCAGAGAACCGGCAAATACCACCTCTGGCTGGGCCCAGAGTAGGATGGGAATGGAGATTTTGCAATGTCCTTCCCCCAGGAGTGGGGAGAGAATAGGCATTTTGCAGTATCCTTTCTCTGCCATGCCCATTAACCCACACCACGCCCACCAAGCCATGCCCCCAGAACAGGTAGTAAAAAAAATTGGATTTCACCATTGAGCCAGAGATTTTGTCCCCATGGAAGAAGCCATCTTCTTCTGCAGGCAGTAGCCAATAGGTTGCATAAGGAATGGTATACTCCAGTGGTGAAATCTAAAATTTGTTACTACTGGTTCTGTGGGTGTGGCTTGGTGGGGCGGGGGGGTAATGTGACTGGGTGGGCATGGCCAATTTTTAAAAAAAATATTTTTAAAATCATTTTTTGTAAAAAAAAAAAAAATGCTTTCAAAAGGTTCTGATGATCCCAGCTGAGTTGCCTGATCGTCAGAGGATTTTTTAAAAACCCTCTGCCGATCAGGCAACTCAGCTGGGATCATCAGAGGCATTTAAAAGAAAAAAAGCCTCTGATGATCGCATGGCTCAGCTGGGCACGGAGTGGGGGGAGCAGGGATTTTTGCTACCGGTTCTCCGAACCACCCGTCCGAACCGGGAGCATTTCACCCCTGGTATACTCCTCCACATGGGATTTATTTCCCTTCCGACTTTGTCTGGAGGTCTGTGCCCAGCATTCTCTCATCTAGTAGATGTCCTCTGTTGGTTTCAGTAAAAAAATAACCAAATCATACGTGTGCAAGCCTTGCAATCAGCAAAACTGAATGCATTTCGGGATCAAAATGATAAATGAAGACTTTTCAGAAGAACCTCCCATTGCATCTCTGTTCATAAATATCAAGGCATTGTTGATTTATATGAGAAATAGAAGCCCAGAAAGGCCATAAACATTGAATGTGTAAATATTTAGAATGCTGGAGAATCTTGCATTCTAATATAAACAGAAATTCCTCCGCTCTACAGCAACATATGAAAGTGGTTAATTATGACCTCCATTACTAGGTGCTGTGTTACCCCCACCAATAAACAGGGCCTTGTCACTAATCTCTGAGAAACACTCATCCTTCTACATTTGTAAACAGACATGGGGGTTTTGCAGAGAGACCTTCCTTCTGCATGGACAGTGCTAAAAGCAAGAATGGGGCAGTGTAGACATTGATAAATACAAGCAAGAGCAATGTAATAAGAGTTACATTGCTTGAGAAGCTGGCCTCAGTGGGGAACAGTGAGGCACCCAGTGACCGAAATAGTATCTTTGACTGGTTCTTACCTTGACTGTGTTAGTAGAAGAGGGAGAAGAACATGTAGGCAAGCTATTAGATTGGAAAGCTCTCTGGTATTAAAAGTTACCACAAGTTACATTAACCCTTTTCTGTTTAATGGGTAGAGTCATGACTCTGACCCAGATAAAGTTTCACACTACAATGAAAGGCACCAGCTTGAGAAAGTGGCAAAGAATATATATTCATATTTATTTATAATATTTACATATTTTCCCCAGACCCCAGAGTTTATATTCAGGCCTGTTTACATGAAAATATAATAACATATCCACTATACTTAAACTATAAACCATAAAACATTAACAAAATCCCTCCAAGTTAGCAGATGAAGCACAGTAATTCAGGAAAAGCAATCAAAGGTTTATGGGAAAAGAATCCAAAATCCATAGTTGGGTAATAATACCTATATTAAGTCTACTCCAAATGTCACAAAATAATGTGTGTGCTCGCAAGCCCTCTGGAATGTTTACTTAAGCAAAATGTTGCAAAAACACAGGATGGAGAACAAATGAGTAAATCCACACATTAGATCAGATGTTTAGACCAGGAGGGCTGACGTTCAATCTCAGTCACAAAATGAAGTTGTGAATCAAATGGATAGCTAATGTTAGAGGTTGTTAGGATCAGGCTATATTTAGAGCTTAGAGACAAAGTCCCACTCCAAGCTCTGAAAACACAAAGACCATTAGTCCTCAATCTATTACTCGGTATGGGTGACTCATAGAGGCAACTTGGCCTAACACAGAAGAAACAAAACATTACAGAAGCTTCTCCAAAATAAGTATAAGGGAAGGCCAACAGAAGTTTCCACAGATTGGGATCATAGCTCACTGAGCACAAGCGTAGGAAGTCTGAGGTTTAATCCTGTGGGATTTCTGACTAAAATGGGGTCGGGAGAGGGGGGAAAGTTTGTGGCTGGAGGCGGACTTCTATTTTTTGGCAGCCAAAAGATGCAAAGATGAGTATGGCCAACATTTAGTTTATGGAAATTTAGAGGTTTTTTTTAAAATTAAAAAAAACAAAAACAAATGTGTTACAGCTAGCAGAAGTCCAACACAGTTTTTGCCTTCTTTTCGGAAATTGGTGGAAAATTGAGCCACTATTATCATTATAACTGGCTTAACTGGCTTGCCACTGAATTTCAAGACCATCTTTGAGGGGCTCTGGAGACTACAAGAAATAAAGTACCTTGAAGGTAATGTATGACCTACAGATTATCTATCCATGACTTTAGAAAGATCCAATAACAAGAGATGGGAAAGATTCCTGCTACTAAGGCTCTGCAGAGCTATTGGTGGTCAAAAGTTGAGAAAACAATTACTTTGATCTGGGAGGAAGTTTCGTGTTCCCCCATCTTGAAGACTTACAGCAATGGCCACATTCTTGAAGATTTGATCTTCATAATAATATCAAGAAAAGCAACAAGATAGTGAACTTTGCTGGACTTTGCAGCAAAGCACAAGAACTCGTTATAGCAATTCTATTTTCTTACTTGTTTTATTTATCGATAACATTTTAGGCCTGCTTTTCATTGAAAATGATTAGGTTTAAAGCTAATTCTAAGGCAGGATCCAATAAATCCAACCAATAAAAACAAACAAAATTCCAAAATTAAAATTGGACAGGCAAAATTTTTCTATCTTATCAAGTAGTAGGTTGTGGTCTACTTTATTAAATGCCTTACTGAAGTCCAAGTAA